ACCCTTGTTCAGTTTCACTGATTCGGAAGGTGTGAACACTTAGGTAGCTTCAGGTCTTGAAGACAAAAATGTGTGCATCGGGTAATATGGCCTGGGATGTGGTATGACAGAAAAGGATGATAAAATTGACCTATGACCTGGGTAAGGACTGGATGCTTAATAAGACAGTTCAGTGAGAAATAACTGCATCTAAAGTTCTGTTTAAAGAAATCTGGAATTAATGGGACTGTTATTGTGGAGCTGTACATAAGCTAGGTGCACATTAGCAAAGCTTTTCCAGCTTTGCTTGAGGAGACTGAGGAGCACGAGGTACCCTAGTGATGGTGAAATCAAGGGGTTACCTGCTTTGGGGGAAGGTGCTGCACACCATGACACCTCTCTGCCACGGTGTATGGCAGCACTGACTGGGAAGGAGAAGCCATTTCCAGCACACTGCTCCTTGCATACATTAATAAGTGGCTGAACAACATGCCAGGGAAGATCTTGCCTGTTCTTACAGATTGCCTGTCTAACTAGGAAACTCTTGAAGCTGCCTCTCCTTTAGGGCAGGCAAGGGGAACTAAGAAATACTGCTATCCTCAGCAAAACCATCCCTTGTTTTGGTAGGGGCCCTGTCCAAGTGTGGGTGATAAGCACATCGCAGTGGAGACACATGTACATAAGGTCAGTAGGGCTTGAATCCATAGAGAGGGTCTGGAAACCAGAGGCAGGGTTGGAGGACATGGACTGAAGAGCTGGGTGTGGAGGAGAAAATAAGGGAAGGAGACTAGGTGGTTGGTCCTGGTCTTTGGGCAGAGCAGGATGCCAGGAGCGGAGGAGACAGCAGAGAGGGACCAGAGCAGGGCTGGATGGACCTAGAGGTTCGCCTAGAGTCAGACAGGGAGTTTCCCATGCCTGTTTATTTTCTGCCTTGTCATACCCCTTTTCCCTTCTTTTAGTGCTTTGAACCCAGTTGTTGCCTTTTGTTCTTTCGTATTTCTAGGTCCAGTTCAACATCTGCAGAAGGGTTCAATAGTGTACAAAGAGCCTGAAGTTTCCTCTTTGGCCTCCCTCTTCCCCTCTCTGCAAAGCTCTTTAATGTGATACGCCATCTCCTGCAGACTGTGGATGTTTGGAGGCATGATACGTAACTGGGTAGCGATGCAAGTAAAGCTGTGATGAGGGAATTGTTGCCATGCTATTTTAACTCCTTCGGTTTTACTTTTCAGTTTGCCATTAAAACTTGGAAGTGAATACTTTTGAAAGGTTCAGCTGGTGAACTGGTATAACTTACCTCATATATAAACCTAGTTTAGAACTGAAGTTGTTTTGTCTGAATTTTTATTTTGGGAGATGAATTTCATGAGCCACCTTCTTGCAAAGGTAATTAGCTGTCAGTGTCTAATAGCTGTTTCAAATAAGAGTTTGCCGAGACATTTGCAAAAGTCTTTAGAAGCCATTGAGTTTGATGTTAAGACATCATTTCTTCTACAGATGAGATGAAAGAGGCAACAGGGCAACTGCTCTGCAGGTGGGTTGCCCAGGAGAGTCCTCTAGCAATAAAGTTTGTGCTTTTGCAAAGTACTGCTTGTGAAACTTTTATCTCTGCCTGTCTGATGCCAGATGTGTTTAGCTAGGCGTCCTCCCCAGAGATGCTAGGAAAGAGTCTTCATTCTACTGTCAACTCCCCAGTGCTCTTACAGTAAAATAATTTCTGCTTGTGAAAATCAAAATTGCTAGAAATGTCAGTGTTCGTCTTGATTCCTCAGAGTTACTGGATGGAAAAACACAGTTAGAATTCAAATATCAACTTGAATTTCATCCTGTAGAAGCAAACTGTTCCGTTAATTGGAACAAGCAGGATGTTTATGATGACTTTTCATTCTTGCTAGCTTTGAGTAAGTTAAAAATGGACAAGATACAGTGATCGAAGATCAAGTGCATTTAGTGTATACTTCTTACAACGTTATTTTTGTCAAGACCTTCAGTGTGAATGAGGGGAGTTAGCCTAATTATCCAGCTGCTTTTGCTGAAGGCTAAGGTAGTGATTTGCATAATACCAGAATTAACAAGGTCACCAAGCTTGTGGAACGGGATTTTTCTGGAACATAATTATGTAGCTTAAAAGTTAGATGCAATATCTTACTATTTTTACCAAAATGTGATTTTATTCACACTCATCCTTGGTATTTTTTTCACTATGATATGTAACCTTCTTAGAGAAAGCGAAAAGGGAGGTTTCACCTGAAGAAACATAGTTGTGGTTTCCAACAGGCCCATGGATTTTGTGCCTCATCTCAATTTAAAGGGAAGTTCTGAGGTTCATTGATAGATATTTCATTACAATACAGCTGCCCTAGTTCTGATCCACAAAAAGATGTTTTGTAAATGTATGAGGAGGAGAGGCTTCTGGTTTTGGAGTTGGTAAGCTTTCATGCACTCTTACACTAATTTGGGGTCCCTTCTCTTCCATCCCTACCTCTGCCTCTGGTACTACCTGGTCTAGTGCAAGGTGTCCCTGCCCATGGTAAGGGGTTGGAACTAGATGAGCTTTAAGGTCCCTTCCAACCCAAACCATTCTGTGGTTATTCCAATTAGCTCGTTTTCCGTCTTATTTTCCCTGTACATTCAAGGGCTAAACCCTTGTGCCAGATGCAGCAGTGCCATTGATCACAGATTACGCTGATCAGCTTTGCCGGGCGCATGGGATTACAGGTGGGGAAAGGGCCTTGGTTGTGGTCTTAGGAGTCCTGATTCCAAAGCTCTGTAGTGAGTTGCTTACGTACCAGCTGCGGGAGTTCAAAATGAGGGTTCGTGGGCTACACCATGCCCAGGCAGGGAGAGGGGTTTGGAAAGCTGGATGCTGAACTGTAGGTCTGGAAGAGGGAGGAGTACGGCATTATGAGCAGAGCATTGATCTGTTCTTCCA